TATATATATATATATATATATATATATATATATATATATATATATATATATATATATATATATATATATATATATATATATATATATATATATATATATATATATATATATATATATATATATATATATATATATATATATATATATATATATATATATATATATATATATATATATATATATATATATATATATATATATATATATATATATATATATATATATATATATATATATATATATATATATATATATATATATATATATATATATATATATATATATATATATATATATATATATATATATATATATATATATATATATATATATATATATATATATATATATATATATATATATATATATATATATATATATATATATATATATATATATATATATATATATATATATATATATATATATATATATATATATATATATATATATATATATATATATATATATATATATATATATATATATATATATATATATATATATATATATATATATATATATATATATATATATATATATATATATATATATATATATATATATATATATATATATATATATATATATATATATATATATATATATATATATATATATATATATATATATATATATATATATATATATATATATATATATATATATATATATATATATATATATATATATATATATATATATATATATATATATATATATATATATATATATATATATATATATATATATATATATATATATATATATATATATATATATATATATATATATATATATATATATATATATATATATATATATATATATATATATCTATAATCATTATCATTACACATTTTTGTGTAAATACTAATGAAACTGGAGTGCACGACTGTAAACAATAGGGATGAGGGATGAAACTGATTGCCTAATTCAACGGGGACGAAAATTACTTACGGTCAATGTGGACGGAAAGCGGAAACGGAGACCACAAAACGAGGGTGTTACCAGATGTTATTGAAGAGAAGGGGGAGATCACTGTCGAGTTTGCTTTGATGTCTTGACACTTTTCGAGGAATGGCGACCACGTGTACTTGGAAAATCGGTGCTGACGCAAAACTGTCCTTGTTAGAGCAGTTCTTGGGCGATATTTGTTTGTGAATTAGAGCTATCCCTGAATCGTATGCTTAGTTGATTAAGAGATTACTATTGTTTGGCGAGCAATGGCAATACACAGTCTAGAGGAGAGCACATGCCCCCGTTTGGGCTGGTTTGTGGTCATCGCTATGTATCGTCACCACGCTTTGAATTGACGAGTTTGGTTAAAGAAAACTGTCAATGGGCACTAGCCTGGACGGCATATAATGCTTCATAAATCCTAAGGAGGCGAACATACTACCGAGAAGTATTATTTTTCATCAGTATTCCGACCATTTTCGCACCATCAGCTAGGCGTAATTTCATCTGTCGCAGGGCAAGGGAGAACATGAGGAACAGCTTCCTCCCTCCCTCCCTCCCTCTCTCTCTCACACACACACACACACACACACACACACACACACACACACACACACACACACACACACACACACACACACACACACACACACACACACAACACACACACACACACACACACACACACACACACACACACACACACACACACACACACACACACACACACACACACACACACACACACACACACACACACACCACACACACACACACACACACACACACACACACGTCAGCACCCCCCCCCCCTTATATCAGCAACAGAGAAAACGTACAATGAGGAAACACGGTTGACGCTCACACCAGAAATAAAGAGAGGAGGAGGAAGTTGAATAGGAAAAGAGAAAATGGTGGGAGAAAAATTCACAATTCCTTCCACCAACTGCATCAAACCAAAGTATCGTCACGTGCCTAGTGTTCCAACTACAGGCAAAATGTATTAAGAGAATAAGCGTCTAACGCAAATAACGAAGACGGATTTACTCTCAGGAAAGAAAAAAAAATGGGAAAATAAGTTTAGATGTCCCCTTGCAGAGGACATCTAAACAAGAGGTGTTTTGCCTCTACATAATTTGTCGCACAACTTCCTCGAGGTAGATGGTGTAAATTCATTCAAAGCCAAAATAGTCACTCATTTGGTGAATGGCAAGGGACGAGTTTTTGATGGGCCTGTGAGTTTCCTTAAAGAGAAAAGAATGTAGAACCTCGCAGTCTTAGCGGAATATTTGACCAAAATTTATTTTTACTCTGAGACCCAGCAGAACATTTCTAGCACTGACGTTGCAAAATGCTTCTGGCTCAAAAATACAGGAATCTGACGTGTCATAATAAGATCAAATGCTACACTATTCACATATATATGGTTTGAAAACGATTCTCTAAATCTCATGATCACTGAAGTGGATCACTCACGGAACAAAATTCGCGAGAAAAATGTGGCGGGGTTGGTGTTCACACCCAAGACGTAGTCCCATGGAACACCGTAAAATCCGCTAGACTATCAATTGTTGACCCTGAAACATTATGAAACAGCTCGAAACAGCTTGGACACCTGGTCCTGCCAACTGTACCCCATGATTCGCCGTAGGGACATGTTACAAAACGCATAGAGATGACACTCCAAGGTACTCGATAGCGTCCAGGTTTCACTTCCAAAAACACAATCCTTTTAAGAAGTTAACAATCAGAAAATATCTTCGAGTGGTTGTAGTAGCTTTTCGTTAATATGACAAGTCTCCTATCAGACTAGCCATTTTTGTCTTAATGGACAATAGCTACAACGCATCAGTTGCATCCAGTACATACGTACTACGAGGAATTTGAAGAAAAAAAATATAAAACGAAACTGGAAACTTTTTCATGAACTTATTTTTGTTTTTTTGTTTTTTTTCTGTTACACTTCGTGTTTCAAAAGCCATGTGCCTATGACGATGTATAACACATGGTATCATGACTGCAAGGCGACCTCTTCAATTTTATATCAACTGGCAAATCAAATCCGTCCTTACCATTCGTTACTGCACTGTCTTCAATCACTTGGAGATGGTTCTCAGTCATTAATACCCTTTGCTTGTTGAATGTCCACAGCTAAAGACCTTTTCCGCAACGCCAAACCAGGGAAGCGTTCTTCTCTCCTACATTCTTGAGGATTAACTTTGGTCAGTAAGGGGACTTCATTTTCAATCTCTTGGGTATTTCAAGTAGAGATTTCAGTCACACCCTAAGCCTGCTTATAAGTAATCTCAAAACTTATATCTTTAATGTTCTGGAGTTGGAGGCTCTCTGATTCCGCAAATTATCAAATACTTTACTATATCTAGCATGGAGAGGTAAGTGTAGGATGAGGCTCTGCATTGTTTGATTATGTGTCTATTGAATATTTTCAGATTTTTATATGAAAAAAAAAGAAAGTTGGTTTTCATTTCCTGATAAAGTTAACTCAAAATCACCCCATAAAAAAACAGCATTTTATCAAGACACAAAATCAGAGTAGCATCTCTACACCTTCACAGTTTCACAGTAAACCCCCACACAACTACAGATATTTTTACAAGGCCAGATTGTATATTTTATTCCCCATAAGCCCCACCTTAATACATTATAAAATTCCAAATTTATTTCAATCGGCAATATAGGTACCCAGATACATAGTTTTAACTGATTGACTGAACCAATAGAGTAATTGATGGATATATATAAATTGGACACAGATTAAAAAATTGGTACATAGATAGATAGATTGATCAGTTTAGAAAGATAAAGGGATATATAAATGTCTAGTTAAATGAATAAAGTACTTAATTCCCATATCTCCATAAAGGACGAGGCCACATATTGCAACATATATAATTGTGTAAATACGAAGTAAAATAATAAATATAATCTGCAAATATGTAACATATCCATATACTTAATTTTATGTAAAATTGTATAAATATTACATACACCTGCATTTTGTATAAAAGCTGAGTACAAGGTAATAACTTTTCAAAACAATAAGATTCAGGATATTATGAGCATGTCATCTATGATAAGGCACTACCCCTTCCCTGGTGGATGCATGCGTATGTGTGTGCGTGTGTGTGTGTGTGTGTGTGTGTGTGTGTGTGTGTGTGTGTGTGTGTGTGTGTGTGTGTGTGTGTGTGTGTGTGTGTGTGTGTGTGTGCGTGCGTGCGTGCGTGCGTGCGTGCGTGCGTGCGTGTGCGTGTGCGTGTGCGCGTGTGCGTGTGCGTGTGTGTGTGTGTGTGTGTGTGTGTGTGTGTGTGTGTACATAAATACACAAAAAATGCAACACATAAAAGATTGGTGTAGACACCATCTTTTAAAGATAAAAAAAAACACCCTTTCAGTGAAGTTCTTTCCATGAGTTACCATCTTGCCTAAATATGCTTGGTTAAAAAAGTCAAAATCCTTAGATTTTGACTGAAGAAAGCCATCAACTATAGGAAAAACAAAAATAAAAGCCTGAAAAATTACAGCCACAAGCAATGATTTGTAAGCCAACCTCCATCTCTCTCAGCAACAAGCCTAACATAAGGGGCTTTTGACAATTTAATGAGTTCCTTTATGCAAATAACATTACCACAAATTTGCTTTTTTATTTTATTGCACTTCATTCTTCCAAATGAAAAATATAAATTGAATTTGCCACAGGAAGCTATAAGTAATGGCCAAAGAAGTGCATACAAATGTCATGTAGTATGTTGTCATTAGAACGATAGAGTAACATGTCAAACCTATATTCCTAGCTTTTGAATCTCAAAATGTTCTAGTATTCTGCATTATATATAGGGTAAGTACTTTTATCTGTTCTTCAGTATTTATTCATACTTTCCCATAACTTCAAACACTTTTCCTCTCCCAACTGCAAATTGCATGAAATCTTAGCATTTATGAAATACAGGCATTTCAGCTACAGTGACAAAATTTCAATTTTACCTACATATTAAAAACAGGCAAATGAAAAAGAAAATCAATAAAATGTTCTAAATTTTATTTCAAACAAACAAAAAATAATTGTGACTAGGCTACTGCATTGATATTTTTTCATTAAAGACTACTAGTGTGTTCACTACATACCAGTTACTTAAAAGCACAAAGAACTATCAAGACTTTTGTGAAAATACTGTAAAACTATTCTTTCTCTTAATATACAAGATTAGAAAGAAGAAATGTGTAAACATTCCTATATTTGAAGGGTTAACCTTTCATAGCTTGTAAAAGATACTGATAATACCTTTAATAAAACTGATTTGGTATTCACCTTTTCTTCCAATATGCCTTTCAAAACCCACTAGCCACATAAAATCTGTATCCTTATATGGATTAAAATGTGTAATTCCAAATCATATTATATATTCCAAAGACAATTCTATAGAGATATGATACAACATAAGCAATAAATAATTACACAATTTTTTTGAGAAAAATAATGATAAAATCATAAAATGTATCTTTGCAATGCAAATCCACTAATTGTCTATCTGGCAAGTTTGATTGCTTAAAAGTGTTTGCAAATGGTAAATAATGAAATTCACTTTAAAAACATAGCTGCTAGTTATACATTACAAAATTTCATAACATTTATTGATGCAATACCTAGACTATATGATGTTATACAAGTCTGGATGTATAAGTCTATTTACTGTGTGCAAAGTGCTTTTGATTGAATTATTGCCTTAGTACTACATATGTAGAAAATATATAGGTAATAAAAAAAAAATTATGATGCACCGAGTAAAGTTAGTGAATCTCGTCATATTTTCTCTACATTTGTCCCAACAGACATAGTACTACATGCTGTATTGTGTGAAGCAAGTTCTCAAATCAATCAAGTTTATGCACACTAAAATTATGTAAATATAACAGGTAATAATATTTCTAAAATTCCCACTGTTAACATGAATATTATATTTTAATCAAACAAAATAAATGCAAACTATTACTATTAGTAAACTTAGAGAAACAAGGCTTTATAAATTCTTTATATACTCTCCCTTCAAAATAATCTGAATACAGCACAGCTTTTCTTGTCTATGCTTATCCATACAGGTAAAGATATTACAAACCACTGGTTTTATGGCTTATCAGATTATTCAAATGTGTCCTTACTTCAGTATCTAATAATACTTAACAGAAATATTAGTAATAAAAGCAGAACTACACATTGGGTAAATAAAAGAAATACAAAAAAAGTACATAGTATAATTGCCTACTTTCAAAAACTACTTTTTTCTGTATTTCCCATTAATTAAACGAATTCTACTTATGGCCCTAACTTGCTCTGGAGTTCTGAATTCTATAAAATTGTTAGTGTATGTATTTCACTATTAGAATTCCTGTAAGGTCTGCATATAAGACAAAGAGTTAATAAACCATAATAGAGATAATATATTATTATGCATCCAAATATTAAAGTAACAAATAAAATAAAGTATTTTGTATACTATATAAACATATAACTGAACAGTAATAACATATACAGTCTTTTTCAACCTTCTTGTATAAATGACTGCTGCCAAACAACAGAAATAAAGGCAAGTTCAAGATAAAATTTGGTAATATGTTACTACATTGTGTAATTAACACCAAATTACCAATGATCACTACAACATGCGCACAACATTTCATTGACTGTTGCCTGAGATATGTTTTGAGATTTGAATGACAATCATTTGGAAGTATTTTCCAAATGCCACTCTAAGCCTATCAATATAAACCTTTAAACAAAATTAAATTATATATTTATTTTCATGTTATCTCTACTATCTGAAATAGTACAGCACATATGGTAAAACATTTTTAAAAATATCTTTAATTAAAATGCAATTCCAGTCATTTTTGTTCATAATTCATATGAAGATAAAACTTAGAAGATAGAAAAGTTAGATAGTAAAAGTTAAAATGTCCAGATAATAAATCATTTCAACTTGTGTAGAACAATGATTTTAAGTTCACATTAACGAAATGAGGCTTCTAGAGGCTTGCAGTAGGAGCTGTCAACACATCTTGCATATCTTGAAGTGATGAGGCAAGGGCGTCACATAAAGCTTCTCCTCTTGATTCCGATGAATCGAGGAAGCAGCTAATAAAGAAGTTTAGCCTGAGTGGGAGAAAGAAAGTCATAAATAATTTTGTATCATGTTTGTACACAAACTATTCTAACCTTACAAGACTAATGGATTGCTGATATTAGTGATACTCTTGAAATAATTAATCATAATATGCATATATCAGTGGCCACTGAAATCAAATCAGCACATCCAGTATATCTCATGCATTTACTAGTATTCTGTGGAAAATAATATGATTTTAAGTGAAGTAAAAAATAACAAAAAATCATCCTTTTAATTATGACTTCAGATAGTAAATAAAGCTTCTTAACACAGAAGAAATTACTAACTTGTCTGGGAGCATGTTATAGAAGCAACCATATCCATCCTGGACCATGGCAGCTACTCCTCCAACAAGTGGAGTGTAACCAGTTGTACTTGAAGACAGTACAAAGTTACCTCCACCACCACTGAAAAATAACATAATTACAAAACACATTTACAAAATAACATATCGCATAAGTTACCTAATTCCAGGTTCTCCAATTCAATGTTCTTACAAAAATAACTGTCTCACCTCTTAACATAAGCTGGATCTAAGAAGATCTCAGGAGTGTCCATTCCAGCTTCCAGAGCAACAATGTAGAGGCCAAATAGATGGCGATCGATGCCCTCATTTTTTTGGCATCGTTGCATTATTTCATTGTGGCGACTCACAGCATTGAAGAGTTTAGTGCGTTTTTCGCTAGTCTGGATAGAGGTGAGAAAGAGCAATTGGGAACTTGTCCTTGATTATTCATATAAATCTGGCAAACAAGTATCTTATCTCTTTTTTGTGTCATCAGTGTATCAATCATACCTAAGACTCAGCTTGTCACTGGTAAGATCATTTTTCCTATTATATATTTCCGTGATAATGCCTCAGCTTATGATTTTCCTTAAGTGTCTCATAGGCTTTAATTATGATTCTATTTCAGGAATTCAAAAGGCAAAAACAAGAACAATTTCCTAAATACATCTTTACACTAATTAGGAAATTAGGAAAATTAGGAAAATCTACCAGAATTGGTTGTTTAATAGAAATTTATGGTCAACCTACTTCTGTTTCATTAACCAACTGCCAATCTCTCTTTATACAATAAATTGTAGTTTTGTCAAATTTGTCTATATGTCTGAATGGTTCCCAAATCCCACCATGCATAAAATACTGGACATCATTTAATTAGCATATTTTGGTACAGTAGGTTCTTACTACCACATCATTTAGTATTACACTCCCATGCAATAACTAAACAGCATACACATTTACAGAACTTTGTCCCTATTTTCTGAATTAAAGAACATACCGACACTTTAGGGTTAAGCATGGCGTGGGCAAATTCCACAGCCTCTTCTGTACACGAGCGCATGGTTTCTGTCCTTCCATTATAAAACTGTCTAGTAGTTGCAGTTTCATAGGTTGGTGCTGGTCTGGAGAAATGAATCGTCATCAAAACCTTCAAAATTATCATATTATCATTTTTTTTTTAAATTTTACTACCTTCAAGATGTGCTTTTAATAAATCAAGTCAAGTTTTGTTATAGATTTTTCTAAGATAAATAATACATACTTTCCGTGAAGGCGAATATAAGCCAACTGCATGCTCATCTGTACAAAGGCATCTGGATGGAGTTTGTTGCTTTTGATGAAATCCTTACCATAAGTAGAAAACGTATAATATTTCACACTTATATTCTTGGTCTGGAAATAAGAAAATTAAAATACAATAAATAACTGAAGAGTACCTAAAAGAGTAAGGAAAAATGAAAAAAAAATTAAAATGCAAAAAGCTTATAAAATTATTATGACAATTTATTAAATGGAACAGGAATATGAAGATGAAGAAGCTGACCAAGAAAAAGAAGAAGAAAAAAAAATACAACACACATACCAAGGCCAAACTAGTTTCCCTAGCAGCAGACATGGCAGCTAACATTTTGCTGTCAAGGTCAAAGTTCACAAGGGACGGCAGAGGGAATTTTCGTACATCAGGATTGCCTCTCCAGGTTCCTCCCATGTCTTCCAATAACAAATGCTGGTAATGGGCCATGACCACCGTTACCATAGCATCATAAGGCGTGTGCTGGATGAGAAGTAATATCTAATTAATTGAAAATTGAATAACAACAATGATAATAAAAGTATTCACAATGGAAATTAGAATTATAAGTAACATTTACATAAGAAACATAAGAAAATTAATGAGCTTCAATTTTCCATGGATACTCTATAACATGAATGAATGTTAAATATTAATCTTCTTACATCATTGTTTGTAGCACCAAAGCCATTTCTTGTCATGATGGCCGTTAGACTCTTGTCAGCCCAGCGATTTGTTGTGTCTCCACACAGTGCCTCCCAGCATAGCTGTTGAATTTTAATTCCATATTCAATACTGATTCATCAGATTTTAATAAGATATTCTACAGTATATTGCCATAACATATTCTGATTTACTTAGTTTTTTTAAATATAAATAAGAAAGTTCCCATCTGTAATTTTCAAGTTTTACTAAAATGATTTTAGTGAGTCATCTTCTATAAGAAAAAGTCCTTAACTCATTCGCGACGGGCATGTCACATATCCGTGCCACGCCCACTTGTTTAATTGTTTTTATACATAGATGGCTATACCTGTAATAAATCACCAATGACCCAGTTACGAGTACTGCCTGTCTCGCGCGTTTACCCTTTTCTTTAATTTATGAAAATATTTTACGTTATCTTATTTTGCTATTACTAATGTTTATAACATTATAGTAATAATTGTAGTGTAGGGCTGCGCACTCGCCGACTCTAAGGCTGATCTCGCCAGGACTGACATCGTCCTCGGGCGCCGAGTGGTTGAAGCGGGGTCTTTGCCATGCCCCATGCCTGCTTCTACCGTGGAACAAAGGACGTGGGGAACTCTGCAATGCTGCCATTGACTCGGATGAGTCAATGCGGGCGCACTCGCTGCGCACCCGCACGAGGCTGGCTTCACCCGCCATTCGCGCCACGCCTACTTGACTCGAGTGTGACTACATAAGCCATAGCCAGTGCCATACGAGCCGCCAGAGACAGTGTTACGAAAACATATGAACATGGTTATAAAAATCACCAAGGAACGTATTTTCAACCAAGTCTCGTTACTTGGATGGCGTTGAAGTCTCCGAGAAAAATAAATATTTATTTTCCAAGTTCAATACCGTGAATAGTTACAGCCCGAAATGCACAGTTTTCACGTAAATTGTACATTACCAGTTTTCCTAGGTATCCTTTCCTTTATTGATTTTTTTTCAAATATTCTATCTCCTCGGCGACGCTTTCAAAGTGTCAATATAACCCCTGAAGAGAGTAATGGTCGTTACATATTTTGGATGTTTGTTTTCTTCTCTACCTCTCTTTTCATGGTTGTTCGGGTCCTTTGGGTGGTTTGGACTACCGAACTATCTCCTTCCTTTCGCGCTATGTTTACGGCATGGCCTGGGGTCTTTTTCGGGTATAAATACCCAGGGTTTTGCGAGGGGAAAATAGTTCGGTCCTGACTCCTATAGCGAATAGTAGTTCCGCTCTCGGTAATTGTGCTTGCTTTGGATTTACTTCGCTTTGGATTTACCTCGCTTTGCGCCAGGATTGACGAATTCATGTCTTCGCAAAGCTAAGTATTTCTTATTGG